AAATAAAATCTGAAAGTTTTATAAACAAGGCTTCGTCCAGTTGTTTATTTGTTCTGGGCACGACCTACGACAAAAGTCCTGGTGTGTTATTCAAAATTGAAAGAACCAAAAATTTATATTGAAGTGGATATTTCATGATGAAACTTCACAAACAACTTCCATATTGATGTCGGCCAAATTGCATCAGGTAATTAATACAACTTCTGACAATGTAAATCTTGGATTTCAACTCGCTTCGTTTATAAATTACCAAGAAATTTCTGTTTGCTTGTCATCTATACAAAATATGCCATCTAACGTGAATCGCATAATCGCAGACCCATTAGATCTTGATCATTTCAGTCTTTATAAATTTTAACATGTGTATCCATTTTCATGACTCCCTGTGACAAAATACACCCGATATGGATGGCTTTTTTGAWCTCACTGTTGAGAAATTTGACTTTTCATGATATGGTGTGGTTTCATAAAATGTTCAGCCGTTCGTGTCCTGTGTGGAAGATCGCTTCTCATTTCCAAATAAGACATTATTTTCGCTTAAAAACAAGCATGTTGTAAACGAAAGATCCCAGTCTTTCGCTATTCTTGATAGAATTTTCTCAAATATCTTTTGATCTTGAACAAAAAGTGAGGCATTTTCAAGAGTCTTTCATTCCCACCTTTTTATGAAAAACGTCAACTTTCATGCGTTGCCCGCGATATACGTGCGGTCAGCGTCAGCAAATGTCCCTGCTGTTACCGGACATTAGGTTCCAGGCTACGCGCGCGGCCAAATCGTGTTGCTAAGCAGAGTACTACCGTAGCAACAAAGATGGCGGCAAATTTGAATTTTTTTCCCGGGAAAGTTTTGCCGCCTAAATTATACTTTTTTAAGGATAAATTACTCAAACAAATATGTAAAAAGTATTAAGAACATTTTTATTTCATCGTAGACTTTTTTCAAAGCTAAACATAGCATTTTATTTGTGAAATCCTGTTTTTATGTTACGAAGTCGCAAGTTCGCAACTTTTAAAAAATCCTAAAATCGCCGATTTTAAGGCCAACAATTTTGGATCACTGGAAGTTTTCCGGAGAAAAGGTAAGGTGTATTTTTCAATAAACACTCAATGAGTTTTCGATTTTAATATCAAAAACTAGCTAACCATTTTTTTGTCCGAGATATTGGACAATAAATATACCGCTCTTTCACCGCCCTAACAAAAACTTGTTTCAATTTGGGAAACACTTAGGATGGCGACCTCAATTGAATTTCACCGAGAACATCTCGCAAAAAGCTGCCGAGTTTGTGGATTTTACCAGGGTCAAMAGGCCGAAAACTACATGCACAAATCAAACAAACCAGACTTGGCAGAAAATATATTAAATTTGTTTGGGATTGACATTAATATCAACAATGACATAGATATATACCCGCAACAAATCTGCAACAACTGTTTTGCAAAGTCCTTAAAAGCCAAAAAGTCTCCCTATAAAACAGGAGTCAAGCCAGTTTCTTGGCTAAAGCATGCCGAGGAGAATTGTACAACATGCAAGTCCTTTTTGAGTAACATTAAGGGAGGAAGGAAGAGGAAGCGTTTGGGAAGCGGAAGACCAAAAGCAGATAAACAAATCGCTCGTGATCGAAACATCTCTTCAATCCAGATCGACAATAATGTTATACCAGCCCCTCTTATAGATAAAATGCCAGAAACAAACAGATTTGTCCTAAACCC